CTTTTCAGCTGATGGCATTGATTGTTTCATGCTATGATAATTCTTCCTGCTGATTGGCCAAGTGTTCAAAGTACCTGTAGATGTAGAATGCAGGGGCTTCTTTGTGCCTTTGTGTAGCCCTAACCATCCTCAATCCTTCAACAGTTGAAGGACTCTACTTTGCTACTGTGTCATCACCATTCAAAAGTATTTTCTCTTTTGTTTTTTTCTCCACTGTCTTTTTGCTCTTCTAGCGCATAGGGACTTTTATCAAATTGTGATATTGGCTATACAAAAGCGGTTCATTGTTATTATTATTATTATTAGGGTCTTGATTAATCACTTGATCTTGAAGCTATTACGAGAGTCACCACTAAAAGTAACTTTTTTTCAGAGGAAGTAAATAACACTACATTGTCCGTTTGCACAGAGAGTATGATTATAAAATATGGTAGTTTTAGATTTTATGGGTAGAAAGAGTTTTGACTACTATGGCTGGGCAAATAACAGTTACATTTTTAACTGATTTTGCATTTGGTTTCTCCAGGGCTTTTCAATTTAAGGGGATCTGACATCCAGTATAACCCTGTCTTCTTTGCTTATGCAGTTGTCAGCGTGGACACTGTATAGTGAGTATTCAGAAAAGTCTTGTCAACGTAGAATCAGGTCACTTGAAACTCTGCCTCTGTTTACCTTGGAATCGTACGTTTCATCAAGAGGAAGGAATTTTATGTTAAATAAATACCCCCACAACTCACAATGCCGGCTTCAGTACCTCTCTTCAACTTTAAGGTTTGTTCTGCCAATGTGAAAGAAACTGCCACTGAAACAGTCACAGCGTAAATAGATCACTTCCCACCACTTCCCAGCACACTTTGTATTTTCATATTTGGATGTGGTGTCACGGTAAAATTGTGCTCGAATTAATTGCACTATTATAATGTCCTGATTTAAGTCTGTGTTGCAGTGAAGCCTAGTCACAAGTCCATAACAACTCCACTTACAATGCTATAGCCAGAAATATTAGGGGATGATAGGACAGAGGATTGTCTTTGTCACGGTTTAAAATGACTTGCTTGCAGACTTTTGATGGACTTGTGAGAACTTACAATGGACTCCACAATAATTCTGAGATGAGTACAGATTAGTAGCAGAGGGTTCTTGTAACAACTGTTCTATTTTGACCCTTTTCCTTTATTATTCAGCTTGTTCATAGATGAGCAGAAGTTAACGAAAGATGTAAGAGACCATCTGATGCACAATGGGTTGAAAGTAGACATCCAAGAGTATGATGCCATCCAACAGTTCCTGGCTGATCTTTATCAAGAGGGAAGTGGTACTGGAAAGACATGGGTATGTTAACCTGTTCCTTGTAGAAATCCATTGTGGGCTCAGAAAGTTGTTTTAGACTCAGTGGAGTAAGAGCAGGAGGTGTAGAGGGCGCTGTCCAGTTCATGTACAAAACCGTTTCTGGTCTTATTTTCAGGCTCTTGACAACTTGAGAATCATTTCTGGTATTCCTGATTATTCCATCAGCAGGTTGTGCAGATCTACATGGACAACCACTGTTTGGACAGAAAGCTGCTCATAGATCAGAGCTTTTTCATTCATAAATTTGCACTATTTATTGTTACATATTCAAATAGCCTTCCTTTGTATTTTTGTTTTACTTAGATTAGTCCCAAGTCCAGCAATGCTCTTGTCAGCTGCATTCCCAAGGTAATGCTCAAAGACTTCATTGTTTTCACACACAAGCACAGCTATGGAAACTCATAAACAGTGGTCAAACTCCTAATGGAAAAATTGTTACAACCAAGCATTCTGAAACATAACAGATATTTTGGGTGACCTCAGTCTTTTGCCCGAGGGGCCTCTGGTCTTTTTGTACCCTTCATTTCTCACATGAGTAATCTTACTTGTAGAGTAGATGTGAAACCAAAGACAGTTATGCTAGGTGCATGGGCATAACAGAATAGATACTTACTGCTATAAAACCTGTAAGGGGTTGATATAAACATTTCAGTAAGAAAAGAAATATTGACAGCCTAGATTGCAAATAAATTGACCATGTGAATTGACAATTTTCATCTGACATGTGGTGGTCTTGTTACAAACTGAGTAATACTTGAAATGCAGAGCTTCCATTAGGTGATATGCGTGTACAGCCAAAAGCCACGAATACAGTCTCATAGTCATTCTGACCGCAATCTGGCAACACTCCAGTACACTGCTACAGAGCAGTTTGGGCCATAACAGCAGGCCATATGCAGTGGTCAAGTTCAAACTCAACACACAGTCTGCCTCCAAAGACCTCTCAGACTGTGTGTGTACAAAACGGGGAGTTATAAAGGGCTGCCAGCAGTGACTCATGGCATGTGTAGTGGTTTAACCCAACGCTTGTTCCTGTGAATACAGATGGCCAAATTGTGTTTATGACCCCCCCACCATGAAACGGAATAATTCAACATGTTTTTAACCAGTTGCCTGGAAGAGAGTTTTTAAATGACAGATTATGTTACTAATTAACCTATCAGCTTGTAGCCAATAGTCCTTTTCTCTTTTTTAAAATTCCTGTTGTTTAGAAGTTTCAAGCTTTGACTGATCTGTCTTACATTTTGTTGTTGCTGTTTTTAGTCTCAGTGCGTCTTGCAAGGGACCCCTGTGCTGACCAGCAAAGCTGTCAAAAATGAGGTGGAGATACGGGGCATGAAGAATGCACATGTAAGGCTTTCGATATGCAGATTTCTGGTCTCCTTCCTTGTGTTCATGTACTTATGCTATTGTATATTTTTTTTTCAATACTCATTTGGGTTTCAGTTAGACTTACATGTACAGGTTTGAGCCAATGTCTTGTGTTTCATTTACTTTGCAATGGTTTGTTGATGTGTGTATCTCAGTTGTGTTTCAATGTGCAACCTGCCTGTTAACCACTTGCCGCCGGGGTTTCTGGTACCGGACAGTATGCTTTATACACGTGGCCGGGGTCTTCGAAATCGGACAAAGGGAATTGGGCCTTGTAACAAAAGACCATACTCTGAACAGAAGACCAGGCTGCTGGGCATTACCGACATTTTTTCACTCTCAAAAGTGGAGATAATCCAGCCTTGTTTTGAAACAGTATACCACAGTTTGGGGCATTTAGTGGGAGCGGCTTTCCACCGGGGACAAAAGCTCTCCACCACCACCTCAGCGATGAGCCACGCAATACTGCTGCATGCTAATCTGGCCCCTATTGAAAAGAGGTCAGCAGCACCACACGGAGCCAGGTTCGTGAACAAAAAGAAAGTTACATAACACCGCACAATCTGGGCTCTTTTTACAAGGCTGCAGGCCTGGCTGAAATACTCAGGCATCAATAGATTTTGTCTGTCAGATTAGGGTAGCCACCAGACATTCATTCATGTGGGTGTAAATTCCATTAAATGACATGATAAATTTTTGAAGAATTTTGAAAACTGAAAATCTTAAAAATGGCCCTTTTTCAAACCTCCTGGCAGCAAGTGGTTAATAAACATAGGGCATTGTTTGTATTGAAGCCAGTGGCACTGTTTAGTTTTGAATAAACAAAATTCTCTTCACCTAAAATTTCTGTGCGTTTGGATTTTATTGTGATTTGATGTTTGTGTAGAAGTAACCCAGGTTGGTTGAAATCTTTGTTACATTATGACTAATGTCCAGGGTATCAATTCATCTTGCCATTTTTTGTGACACTTTCGCTGAAACTTAGTGAACATGTCCTTTTTTTCCCCCAAACTATCCTCTACCATATGACATCATGCTAAGCTTCATATCATACCTACATGTACATGCACATGGGAGCCCTGTGCATTGTGTGTTCATTCCAATTTCTAAAGGACAGAGATAAAGAATGGTTGGGGGAAGCTTTTTACAAGTTTTTTTTCTTTGGAAGGCATATGTATTGAGTGAGTGTATTAAGTATTCCCACTCTTACTGTCTGTTGCAGATACGTGATGCAGTCGCACTGTGTGAATACTTCCAGTGGTTGGAAAAGGAGGTATGTTAGAGCAAGATTTCACACAACTAACTCAAGAACTTTTCATCAGCATCATAGGTCGACACTGTCTCTGCCCAGTGCCACATTCATTCAGGGAATTCAA